TGGAGTTTTCCAAATAATTGTTAATATTTTTGCAAGAATCAAATCTCTAGAATGGCAAATGTAGGAAAATTAAACTTATCTTTTTACAGAGAAGAAAAATTGACAATGACAAAGAGGAGAATTATTTTATATCCCGTTTTAATTAATCTTAAAATTTTAGAGAAACTACAAAGAAACTAACTTTTAAGAAAAAGTCACATATAATCGAGATACGCTACTGAAATGGATACTATCGAGATTGTTTACGTCAACTCGCGATGTGTTGTTTGTTTTTCTTGGCACTTTAATATTATGGTGTTGCAATTGATTACAAACCATTATTATTTAGTTTTTAGAGCGCCTTCATTATCTTTCTTGAATTCAGTTAACTTTTAATTAAATTTTATAGTTTTCAGTTTAAAGAGTGAATTTCGTGTTCTGTTTTAATTTGAAAATAAATTAGTAAATTATACTACAATGGATTTTATTCCGGTTTATCACGATAAAGTTCTTTTATTAGTTATCTATATTTAGTTGAATTCCACGAGTACTCCCTTTCAAATGAAAACGAGGTCATCTATTAATATGCGGCTGGACAACAGTCAATACGAAAAAATGAAATAAAATAGAAACCTCAAAACAACGTAATGTATCCGAAAACGTGTCGTTTGTTTCTTTTAATACAACTACCTAATTGGATCATCAATAATATTGTTTCATAAATTGATTAAAAACCTGAGTAACACTTCTCATATTAATATCCTTCTGTATACCTAAATAAAACGCTCAAGGTCTTTCAAGTCAGAATAAAGAATCAGGTCTTCATGCAGTAAAACAAGTATGTATGTTGTAATTTAGAACCAATTTAATATCTTTATTAAGTGTAAATACTACCCTATAATAGCAAAACTGTCTAAATCAATTTTCGTCACTGTGGGCTCCTGGGCATAACATACTAAACTAACCCAAAGATGTTTGAGCCAAACTGCGTTTACGTGATTTAACCCCATTTAACATTGGACAATTTGATTTTAAACCGTCAATTTTATTTATTGGTACAGACAGCGTAAAACGAGAAAGAGCAAAGAGTAGAACATAAAAAGTTAAGTAACTTGACGTATATATCTCAAATATGTCAATTTTGGATTAACATATAGTGACTCATCACGATATCTCTAAAACTACACGGCAGATTGAGCTGAAAATTGGTACTCCTTACGAGACATGGACGCTCACTAAGAACGGATTTTGATCAAATTCCATCCCAAGTATAGTTTATTAATATTATTCGGAAATTATCAAAAACTTTTTGTAGCCCCATGTAGTATAAAATGCCAAACTCTGAAATTAAAACTTCAAAACATTAGTTTGATTGTTGTTTAGTTAATTCGATTGTTGATAGCGTGGAAAAAGAATGCATTTCAATATTATTTTTGCTGAACGATATAATAAACTAATTCAAGTTCGCTTAGATAGTTTAATAGAGATGATGATAGCGTCTTAAAAATCCTCCTCTTCAGTCCTATAAGAGTATGCTCAATGGAATATACTCAATGGTGAGATAAATGACTTTAACGTTTGAGCGGGTATTATTGTTGACCAAATGTTAGCTATGTTAATGTATAATTCGTATAGTAAGTTATAATATTCAATAATTATAGTCTAAATGGCCAGAGGTACTTGTGGCTTTTAGAAGGAGCTTATTCCAAATTCCAAATCTGGCAATTTTATTCCCCGATCCTCATTTATGTAGAAATATCTGCTTTCTGTAGAAATATGAGCAACTTAAAAATAATTTGGCATGTTCAATAATTTTGTTCAGGTTCTGTGTTTGATACAATGAATTTATTCTACTTTAAAGCCTCACACTGTATTACCAAACCAACATTGCAAGATTTATAAAGAAATATATCGTGCCAAATTTTTATGCACAACAAGTGGGCACGTATCACCTAGTTTATAATATTTATTAAGCTTTTAATACATTAAATAAATTGATAATGAATCCATTAAAAATAAAATATATTTTTAGAAGCATCTAGTTTCTTTCGAAACACCACCTAATTGGATTATATCAATAATATTGTTCCATAAATTGATTAAAACCTGATTACTGCTTGTGCAGTCACAGTGTATACTTCTGAAAACAATGCTCAAGGTCTTTGAAGTCAACGGAAAAAAATAAAAAACAAGAGAATACATTTATAAGTTTATAAAACTAATAAACGATATTGTAACAAATACGTAATACGTCATTAATATTATTAATATTTTCTTGTCGTTTTTTGAACTGAACCGTCCTAACCTAGTCTTACCCTGTATTACAGAAATAATCAAAACCAAGTTGTCATTTTAGCGAAGATATTATCACTTTTTATTTCTTTATTTCCATAACAATTATTAAAATTGCCTTATATCTATCAAAAATAGTAGATAAAATATACAGTGTGTCAATTTTAAAACTTCCCACCTTTAATATCTTTCTTGCAGTTAAAAATATGAAAAATCGGAAAGACAAGTCAATTTTATTTGGAAGGGGGACACTTTAAATTAATATTGTTAGCCTTTTTCTTTTAGCCTCCTAGGAAGGGGAGATGTCACCCTTACAATCTTAAATGGGAATGGGGGTCAAGTGGCACATCGTTTTAAAGGGCGTTTAATTATCTTTTCAGTGGTATCCTACTTTGTTGCTTTTTGTCGAGTGGTTTCTGAATAATCACGTTTCAAAGTTGCAGAAACAATTAAACATGCGTGCATTGAGATTTTGGTTTTCAGTCTGGTGTTTACACAAAAATTATTGCGATGGATCTCCTTATAGTACAAAATATTAGAAGATCACATTACACCACTTACACCCTATCTTACAAGTTGTTCAGAATGTTATCCATTTTCCTGTTAACAATAATAAAGTGTGTTTTCAAACTCCTCCCTAACATTTCGGAAAACTTCACCGGGAATTGACCGGCATTCTGCTGTAATTCGCCTTTTAAGATCATCAATATCAGTAGGCTGTGTTCTATAAACAATGGATTTAAGATATCCCCAAAGAAAGAAATCTAAGGATGTTAAATCCGGTAATCTTGGAAGCCATTCAATTGGTCCCCTTCTGCCAATCTATGTACCCGGAAATCTCTCGTTTAACCACTGTCGGATCGGAAGAAAATAATGAGGTGGAGCCACCGTCCTGCTGAAATGTTAACAAGTCCTTCTGTATAACTGATTAGAGTTGCCACTCATTCGAATTTAAGAAAAGAAACGTTAATGTTTATGATGTTTTCTGTTTATTAGTATCTCGACCCCCCTAGAAAAATATAATTGCTACGTCCATGTTTCCACCTAATCTCCTCATTATTTGTACCACAAGGAGATCCATTGCAATATTTTTTATAAACACTAGCCTGAAAACCATAATCTCATTGCAGGCATGTTTAATTGTTTCTGAAAGTTTGAAACGCGATTATTCGGAAACCTCTTGACAAAAAGCAACAAAGTAGGATACCACTGAAAATAGAATTAAACGTCCTTTAAAACGATGTGCCACTTGACCCCCATTCCCATTTAAAATTGTAAGGGTGACATCTACCCCTCCTAGGGCGTTAAAAGAAAAAGGCTAAAAATTTTAATTGAAAGTGTCCCCCTTACAAATAAAATTGACGTGTCTTTCCGATTTTTCATATTTTTAACTGCAAGAAAGATATTAAGGGTGGGAAGTTTTAAAATTGATACACTGTATCTAAATCTATCTCTATCTTGCGGTTAAAGTACTAACCGCAAGGGTAGATTAAACGATACTTTAACAGCGACGATAGGTTAAAAACTTTATTTCTTCTCGCACGTTTTTTAATTGCTTTCATTTTTGAACATTTTTGTATTCCTTTTCATAAGTTATTCAGGATTTAAATGGAAGTAGTTTGGATATGGCGTTTGTCGCCTCAGCTTGAATATCTGTTGGTAATTTACTTATTTCGTTTTGAGCCATTTCTGGCTCCAATTCAATCAGCAATCGACACAAAAGAGAATTAAAAAATATTGACTCAAAACTGACAACTAAAGAGACAGCTTTATTTATTTGTCAAATTACATAGAAACCCAACGCCAACCCAGCACAATATTTCTTCTACTCGTAATAAATTCCATAAAATAATAATTTCTGAATATTTTTTAAAACGTAACTCGCTATGGAAAAAAATATTGTTTTATACACGACGATAAAATAGCATTATCGTCTCCCGAAATTAATTCACTAGCGATTTCATCGCTCCTGAATTAATCTTTTCGGTCGACAATAAAATACCATTTTATCGTCTTTATAAAAAATAACTATTAATACACCACCTAGTTGGATTAAATCAGTAATATTGTTCCAACCTAACCTAACCTGCAAATTATTGAACGATATTGTAACAAATACGTAATACGTCATTAACATTTTCTTGTCGTTTTTTGAACTGAACCGGCCTAACCTAGTCTTACCCTGTATTACAGAAATAATCAAAACCAAGTTGTCATTTTAGCGAAAAAAATATCACTTTTAAAAAGTGAAATAAGATAGAAACCTCAAAACAAAGTACTATATTCGAAAATGTGTCCTTTATTTCTTTTAATACACCACCTATAGTTGGTTTGGTTTGGTTAAATCAATAATATTGTTCCATAAATTGATTAAAACCTGATTGCCGCTTGTGCTCTCGCTCTGTACATTTCTGAAAACAACGCTCAAGGTCTTAGAAGTCAACGGAATAATTAAAATTCAAGAATACATTTATATGTTTATAAAACTATTAAACGATATTGTAACAAATACGTAATACGTAAATACGTCATCAATATTTTCTCGTCGTTTTTAGAATAGAACCGGCCTAACCTAGTCCAACCCTGTATCGCAAAAATAATCAAGGCCAAGTTCTCATTTCAGCGAGAAAAAAGTATCACTCTTTCCGTGCGAAAGTATTTTTATGTCGAAAATCGAAAGTATTCGCGATCCGGTAACGGACGTTGTAAGGGATTTGAGAGCGAATTACCTTTTTCGGAGTGGATTTTGGGTCAAGATACGAAAATAATCCAATTAGTGGCACTCAATAAACAACACTGTCATCGAGAACGATAACACAGATTACGCGAGAGCGCGCACGCACCGCTAATGTGGCGATAGATTAGCACTATTGTTTTTAGATCACCGTCGGGCGGATTATCGCGGTTCGCGTACCGACCGTCATCATAAAGCGGATCTTCGCCATTTTTTTTATTATTTATTATTAACCGCGAAACATTTAAGTCGTACCTAGCAGAAGCTCGCGTCGTAGCCGACTAATTCCGAAATGAAAAGCGCACGGACAACGTTGTCAGATCGCGGGATGAACGGGCGAGATCAAGGCGCGAGCGGCTGCAGATAGCCGCGACGCGACGGGCGACGGTGCAAGTGTAATTTAAATTGAATTAGCAATCGCGCTTATTAAGAGAAGGAATTGTTTATGTTAAATACGGTAGACTCGCGTTGGTGCAAACTTTGTTGTTGGTATTAAAAATGAATCGTTCGATTCACTGCTTTGAATACGGTTGGTTCAATTGAATCGTGGCCAGCACGAATCATATGTAAAAAAGAGTCGTGGGAATTGAATCGGATCACAATGCTATCGATCGTTTCTACGGCTCGTTCGTTCAAAAAATCGTGAGAAATCATTCATTGCTTACAATATGGTTCGTTCAATTGAATCGTGATCAGCACAAACTGCACAGATCCATAAAATTTGAACGATGAGCCGTAAAAATGAGTTGTAAGAATTGAATCACATCACAATACGATTTCTACGGCGCGGCGGTGATATAGGCATAGAAAGAGACGGGCATCAATATTTAGACTTGAACAAAAGCCCGAAACAAACATCATGGGCATAAAATGGAAACGATAAGAAAGTTATTTACAAGAACAAAACTTATTTATATACTGGCTTAGTACGGGAGTACGGGGAGTAATGCATATAATTTTTACGTTAATATTTTTGTTAAAATAATAATTACCAACTATAAACCGACGTCGTTGATGTGACGCACTTGACGGCTTTATGAAATATAGGAATTTTATAAGGACTAACCAACGCTATCCACCCCACCAAATAACCAACTTAACCAACGCAACTAACCTCGATACTGATAAAAAATATAAAAAACAAATATAAATTAGTAAAAATCAACCAACCCCACCAAATAACTAACTAACCAATGAATTAACACCCTCCAAATAACCACGCTAACCAACCCGCCAAATAACTAAACCAATCCAACTAAAAAGATGCAATAAGATCACGCTATAAGCAAAAAAAAATATAAAAAAGTCTTGGTCGGCGTGAGATTTGAACCACGGACCATTCGCTTACGAAGCGATAGCCTCAGCCACTGACCCACAGGTGCTCTTGCAGAATGCTTAAGGCTAGGCATTACTTTCCGCCGACATGAACGACGTCACAATATCTATTAACGGCATTTTAGTATGCTACCGTTTAACGGCTGTTTAAGTACATCGAATAATAATACATCACTATTAGTAGATATTGAATGTTTTTTGTTAAATTAGATCGATTTTCAAACCCCAAAATTTAATATAATAGGTATATATTATATTAGTTATTAACTGTATATTATGTATATTTCATGTAAACTATATCATTTTTAAAATACAAACCAAAAATCTGAGGAATAATTATGTTTTCCATGTATTCTACAACATATTTATTAATCCGTTATATCTAACTAGCGTGACGTCATAAATCTCGCCCGTAGGCTGATCTTTTAATAGAAGGCACTGATCCGATAGAAAATGACACTCCGAATAGAAGGCTTATCATATGTCAACTTTTGACATTTTCGCATGAGGTTTATTTGAAATTGTAACAATGCGGTTCATAATGATAATTTGACTTGAAATACCAAGTGTGTGGTAACAAATTATTCGTTAAAAAATGTTTTTTCCAAATATGCTAATGATCCACCCTTTCCATTTGAAAAAAAATGAAAAATGATAAAAAAAACGATTTGTGCATCTTTTAACCGGCCAGGAAAATACACAAAAAACATAAGATGATCTAATCTATTTTTCCAAGGCTCCTTGATTAAAAATTAGTGTTTTTAAGCGCGATTTAAGCGTGTTGTGAAGCGCGACGCGACGTTACAAAAAATACCGCTCCAAAATCGCGTTACTCAAATACCGACACATCACTATACTATATTCAATGTAAAACCTCTGACGAGGGGTAGGGGACTCAAATAACTCAAAAAAAGAATGTTTATTTCAAAATTTAATTTGATTTAAAATTGGGGCGACATGTTTCGGGACTCATTTAATTCCAATCTTCAGACCCAGAAAGACAAGTCACACAAGGAAGCCATACCATACCACTCGGAAAAAATAAAACAATTGGATTGTTAAAATTCATTAAACAAGTATTGTACTGATTGTAATTGCAAACCAATCCAATTTCTCAAAAGAAAAACCCTTCGTTGTTCTAATCAATAAAGGCTTATACCATAATTCTTAAACAGTCTTATTATTAAATTAAATAAGTCCCGAAACATGTCGCCCCAATTTTAAATCAAATTAAATTTTGAAATAAACATCTTAAAAGATGATAGTGAGTTTTTTGAGTCCCCTACCCCTCTTCAGAGATTTTACATTGATATGTACTCATACTGGGTTGGAGAACGTTTAGTTAGAAAAGTTATTTCATTATTTCGCTCAATTTTTGATCGAAATCTACCTGCACCCCAACAAACATTTGAAGGTAAAACTACGTTAAATTAACCACCTATTACGACTATTATTGACCAACTGGAAATTGGTCGAAATTTTCAAGAATTGACGTTAAAATTTCCCAAAGTGGGGAATAAAACTAAAGTAATTTGGAAGTTAAAAACAGGTTAACAGGTTATAATGTTTTGTATTAAATATGGGCTATGAAGTAAAAAATAACCGACCTGAGGTCATAACATGGTAAAATAGAGGTAAATTTTACTAAAAATAGTTCTAATAAAAAACTACCTACATTTTAACATGGGAAAAAAAGAGAAAGAATAAGGTAAAGTATTTTTCTTTTTAATATGTGTATTGTAAATGAATTTCCCAATAATGAACCAGGAAGACAAAGAAGTGTAGTAATAACTGGCATGGCCGTTTGAACATTAATCCAATATGGATGAAATACCTACATAGATGCACTTCCTAGTACATGTAAATAAGTTATTGGTAAGAAGTAGATTACTGGATTCGCAAGATAATTATGTCTGCGGAGAATTTTTTTTTCTGTGAGATGTAAATATGATAGACCCTAAAAAATTATGCGCCATTAAAATTTTATGTATTTTCAACAATTAATTTTAGAATAAATCGTTACTTTCCAGGTTCTAACCTAACTTTTGTTCAGATAACTTCCTTAGTACACTTTTAACTTTCTTAATTAGTTAATTTAATTTGTGGTTTGTATTACTATTAGTCTGTTTATTTTTCTCAATAGTTTAAAACAATATCACAAAAAAATATTTTTTGAAAACAAATTGGATAAGAAAATGGCCGCTAATGGTGTTTTAACTATTCGTCTATGAAGTTAGGTTTTCCATAATTTTAAAACCTTAAAGTCCGCTTTCTTTTTATGAGCTTAAGATTTCTTTAAATTAATAACCTCAAAGGTTAAGATTTCTTGCTTAAGGTATTTTTCCTTCGAGGTGCAAGTTAAAAAATGGGCTATATTAGGTCGAAGCTCATTTCTCGAAGTCTTGACTACATTGATGGAGTATCGCCGGTAAAACAGAAAACTTTTATTTTCTTTGAGTGCCAGTTGACAATGATATTTTATGCTAAGTTCAATAATTAGATCTTCGAGCAATCCGATTAAATTTTCAGAGTAATCATGTGTTCTAAAATGAGAATCTTTATTGAGAGTCACGTGACATGTCAAATTTTTATCTTTTTGCTGGCCGATGCAATTACCGAACTGGCCTAAACTAGAACACTAACTAACTAGAAAACCAAATTAGGTTTCTTTGTTTATTATTTTTAAAAGTTTTGTGTTTTGGGATTGTGAGTGTTATTATAGAGGAGTTTTTGTTTTTATTGCACAAAATGGACACGTTTAAGATTGTATCGGTAAAAAAAGAAACGCATTAAATATTCTTTCGTTCCCCACCAGTGGGAACAAGGTAATGTGCTATGACGTAATAATCCCTTAAAAAGGTAATTTTACTAATTTTTAACCTGCCGTATGTCTGACTTTCTTCCAAGTCAAAAAACTAAGTTACTTTTACCTTTGAGGCATAATAGCGACTTATGAGATCAAAATAAATTAAATTATCAACATAATTTGAACTCCTCCAAATAAGGTCCCATTTAAAGTTATTAACAACTAAATTTTAATCTAAGTTCAAAACCAAACAATGCCTTCGACCCCCGAGACAAATTTGAGGTTATAATAAAGTAAAATTTGACCTACTTTAAGTCCCTGTAGTCTTAATGCCCTCAATAGGTTATCAGTAACAATGCCAGCTAACTCCAACGTTGCTACTTTTCAAAGGCATAATTTTAGATTATTAATTAGTTTACGACCTCATTTTTAGATTTCCCGCACTTTATTCCCTGCAAGAAATTTATTAAGTTAAGTATAAGTAAAATTCAACCAAATAGTGGTTAATTTTCCGTGGTCAATGATTTTTTCTCCTTCCTATGCTACTGGGACGCTGCATCTATTTAACAGTCTTTTTCAATAAATCGTAATAAAGTCACTGTTAATTTAAGTTCTGATAATTTCCCTTCTATATTTCCTAACTCTAAACAAAACCAATTGTAAAAGAAATAATAAATAAGATAATAAATAAGATCAGTAAAGAAAAACAAATCCTCATAATTTCAAATCAAATTCAAATGTTTCAATTAGATCGTCAAACAGAACTGTCAAGGATAGACATATGACTTGTGATGTCGATTCCGTCCACCATGCATGCATGAATATACATCTTTGAATAAGAAGACTAAGGAAGGAGCATATCAAAAATCTTAGGTACACCGCGATGAGCCTCAAATATGGCCGACTTAAATTCCGGTTTATCAGTGCCGTTCTAATTTTATTTAAAAAATGTAAAACTATGATGTAGGGTAGACGTGGGGTAGACTCAATAATTTGTTATTTTATTTTACGTTGTAAATAAATGTTGGTAGTTATTAAAATTGTTATAAAAATATATAATTCTAATAAAAATAGCTAAGTTATAATAAGTATTTATTAACACAAACATCCGATACGCTACTGAAGCAGGTAAGTCAAATTAACGTAT